TCTCTCTCTCTCTCTCTCTCTCTCTCTCTCTCTCTCTCTCTCTCTCTCTCTCTCTCTCGGTGCTGTTCATCTTAATGAAGAAGATTCACGGCGGTTTTACTCCCATGAGGTCTAGCCCTCTCGATAATTCGAGGGCCATGTTTAGGCATCAAAGCCTTATGCAAGATTTCGAAGAATTACACGAGGTGCTCACTCTTTGTTTTTCTCTGGGTTTTGATTAAATTTCCAGTTTCGTTCTGGCATGTTCTGCGCGGATCTGAAACTTTGTTTTTGGCCGTCTCCTTTTGGGTAAGAAGTATTATATTGGTTTCCATCTTCATTGGATTTGTTCACGGCTCGCTGTTTCACCCTCATCTCTTTGTTCACCGCTGCTTGATCATGACCCGGCACTAGGAAAAGGGACGAACTTTGAATTCGATTTCTTCCTTGAGGCGTTGTTTATCATGAAATGGAATGAATTTGAACTTTGCCCCTATGATCCTGCAAATTTCCCTCTTGTTCTGTCTGCAACCACGAGAAGAGTGATCCTCAAGCATATTGTTCGATCAGGAGCCAGGCCTTAGGTTTCGTTTTATCACATTTTGCGTTGCTTGGCTTTCACTGATACGTGTTGCCGTTTGTTGGGTTCTCACAAGGAAACTCAAGCTAAGAGGAGAAGACTAAAGAATCTGAAAGAGAGGAAGGCAATGGTTGTAGCTGAAGTCCGGTTAGATTCTATTTCCTTGTCATCATCATTCATCACAGCAGTTGTAGAGTCCATGTAGTAAGACTTCATTTCCTCAATGTCCCATCATCAGATTTCTCCGGCGACGATACAAACACTTGACACGAGACCAGCGAGGGAGAAAGCTTCGGTTTCAGGCAGAGTCAATGCAGGAAGCATCTCCCGATCCACCTCATGTCATGAAGAATCGTGTTTCAATTCCGGACTTAAACCAGTCGGAGAGGGTCCATGAAGAAAACGAAACCAACCCGAAGGGAAGAGTTCCGGTGTTTGATCTGAACCAGATATCGGTAAGTGTTTTACTTGATGACTGCCCTTCTTTGTGTGTAATGGTTTGAACTTTTGTAAGCTAGGGTGAGAGACACTACTCCATGGAACATTATGGGAATGGATCCTGTTTCATTCACCTCAATCCCTGTTCTAAGGATGAGATTTCAGACTAGTAATCAGGGATCAAAGCCCGTATAAAAAGAACCTACCTTTCGACTGTTATTCTCTTGAATTCGAACCTGATGGCTTTGGGAATTGGGTGGCGTAGGGAGAAGAGGAGAAAGAGCCAGAAGCGGAGAATGAGCAGTGGACGAAAGTGATGGACCCGAAAGCTGGACCCGATGAGAGAACGAGCAACAGCAGACGACGAATGGGGCTGAAAGAAACGAGTGTGTTGCTCTGCAGAAAAGGCGGGAACAGATTGAACAAGAGGAAGATTTCATGGCAAGATCCGGTGGCCGTGAGAATGTGAGTAAGATCATTTTTCTTAATCTCTGTGAAACTTGCTTTCCAGCTTTCTTAGGCAATTCTTCTTGTAAAACGGTCCATGGATACATAAGAATCCAAACAACCAATAACCAATACCCAAAAAATAGAGGAATGATTCCCTCAAAAAGACAAGACATGACAATGCTAAAGCAGTGGTTGAAAGTTATATTTGTTTATTAAAGGGGGAACAACAATTTTAACTGAACAGTGACTCAGACCAGACCGTAAAATCAAAACTGGCAGATGTAAAAGCCGAACTCAACACCAAGAGTCAATAGCACAAACAAAAACATTTTTACAGATTCTGACATGCCTCCACATCCGAGGCTTCCGATTCCAGCAGAGACCTCCCCTGTTCGCTGGAGCCGACCACCCGTACGGCTGCATCCACAACAGCCTTTTGGAAACTGTCTTCCTCCACCTTTTTCAGAACTTCTCTTACCACTTTGAAAGTCAGGCCACCTCCAAGTATCAATCTCCCGACAATTTCACCAAAGTTGTTTGGAGCCTTCGGCAGATCGATTCCTGCATCGTCCAGTAGCGAGCCGTACAACAAGCACCCGGTTTCCATATCCTTAGCCGTGATCGCGTTCTTAGACAACAGATAGTCCAAGAGTTTAGCAGTAGGTTCAACGCAAGACGGGCTTTTCTCGAGACCGAGGGAAATAGCTTCTTTGACAATTTCCGCATGATACCACGGCGACCCGAGCTCCTCTACGCACTGCAGAGCTTCCTCAAGAATCCGCACGCTGAAAAATTCCTCGAGGAGCGACTTGGTTTTTCTCTTGACCACTTCTTCACTAGACTTGGGAGGTGGAGCTGTAGGCTGTGGTTTCTCTACAGGAACTGGCACGTTAGGAAGTGCGGGTGCTTGAGCTGATGACGGCTCCAGTCCCGACCCGAATGGACGTGATGATGGTGTGCCACTGCCCTGCAACAGGGCACTTGTCCTACCGCTCATTAACCCGCCGCTTCCTTGAGGCAATAGCCTTGTGCTCATTGATGTACTCTTGCTAACTATTGGAGATTGGACTGGCCCTCCTGACCCATCCCGTCTTGACATGGATCGTGTCCTGGGAATTTCCCAGTTATCGTTGTCCATCCCGGGCATCCCAGGCATCTTTCGGGTTCCAGGCATACCGGGCATCAAGCCACCTGAACCAGGACGACCTCCCGGGTAGATGACGGCTCCAGTCCCGACCCGAATGGACGTGATGATGGTGTGCCACTGCCCTGCAACAGGGCACTTGTCCTACCGCTCATTAACCCGCCGCTTCCTTGAGGCAATAGCCTTGTGCTCATTGATGTACTCTTGCTAACTATTGGAGATTGGACTGGCCCTCCTGACCCATCCCGTCTTGACATGGATCGTGTCCTGGGAATTTCCCAGTTATCGTTGTCCATCCCGGGCATCCCAGGCATCTTTCGGGTTCCAGGCATACCGGGCATCAAGCCACCTGAACCAGGACGACCTCCCGGGTAGATGGGGCCAGGACTCCCTGCCGCCCCACTAGCTGCCGCACCTTTTCTGATACTGGCTGTGGCCCCTGGCCGGAGGCCAAGATTCTTTTCTGCCTCGGAGTGAATTTCTGTTATTGTTTTTGCCTTCACCTGCAGAAACGAAGTAGGCACAATATTGAGAACACGTAACCTTGCAACCGACAGACCAAAGGTATGACGGCATTTCAAATACGAAAGATACCTCCTCACGCCTGGGAACCCAGTCGTTAGCACGCAGGTCAATGACATCCCGAACCATAAAACGCAGACGCGGAGCCAATTGAGGATTTCTCGATAGATCTTGTATCCGTTTGAAGTACATATCATTTATCCGCTTCGACTTCAAGTTGTGATCAAGTTTCTTACCAATGGTGTTGAAAAACTGACATATAGCCTCCACATTTTCCTCTTCCGGACACACTTTCTCATCAGGACCCAGAAGCTCCTGTAGACAAATTTTATTACAAGCTAATTCAATTCACACACACACACACACTAAAGAAGCAGTTCTCAAGAAAAAGGTGTTAACTGGTAGGTAGGAATTAACCTGAACAATGTGATGGACAATCTTTTCCGGAACAATCTCCTGCTTCAGAAGCTCACCGATTAAACGAATATTTCCTAGAGTCCGGAGCTTCACAAATCTTTCCTTGTCCTTGCGCTCAGCCTCCTGATTCGGAGCAGTCATCTGTCTAACTTCCTCCCTCAATTTGTCAGCACCCTCAAACGCCTCTTGACAGATATTCAGCAGAACCCTCTTAAATGTAATCTCTTTTCCCTCAGGATCCTCAGGTGGGAACTTGGGCAGTTTGTCATTGATATCAGAACACAAACGAGCATACATAGAGCAGAACGTAGGCTCAATTACAGCTTTGTCGAAAATAAGGGCTATCACGTCCTACAGTTGAAACGCGAAGAAGAAAAAACGGGAAATGGTCAATGATATGGCTATTATCGGATTTTAAAAAGACTGACCAATGTTTGAGATAGAGGCGCACCTTTAGGATATCAGCAGATGTGATACCAGAATCTATAAGTTGGCCCTTAAGAAGATCATACTTCTCAGGGGTCAGCTTGTTCAATATCCTGGGAAAGCCAAAAATAAATTGTTTATCAGGGAACAAGCTAAAATATACAAAGTAGCAGCAAAAGATACAATGCAAATTTGAGAAATAAAAAAGAAACCGACCCCCAATAGTTCTCCAAAACCACAGAGACAGCACAGGGGACATTACCCTTTCACAGTCTTCAGAACACGCTCCTTCTCTGAAAGGTTTCCTCTCCGAGCAAACCAAGGCACCTTGGCTTTGACCAGTGTAGGAGCTGGTCCACCCTGATTCAGTACATGATATAAGTGTACAATTCAGAAACAGAAATTGGGTCCTAGGATGTAAAAGACACCGAAACGTCAAAACATTGAAGATAAGACCTAAAACATATATACCCCTTGGCTGGAAGATACTTGTGCTCTCGAGAATTGGGAGCTAAGTTGGTCTTGACGATTGAATTGGTTTGATTCACCGAACCTGGAATCCCTAGCTTCACGAAGAGTTTCCCAGGACCTTTCCCCTCCGGTGGGTGGAAGTTGTGCAGTACGGCTATGCCAGTCACGATTGTCTGTCTCAGAGAAGCGACTCGGAGCCTGAACTGCGACCTGGCAGATTTAGATAACAACACAGATTTGAGAAGAGCTCTTAAAACTTTACACTTGGGAAACCATTGCAAAATTTATGCCTCAGACGAAACTGATACTCACATTACTTTCCCCACGCGGCCAAGTCTCTTCTTCACCGAACAATTCTGTCGCAATTTCCCGTTTGATTTTTAGAATTTCATCCGAGGGTTGAATGGTCTGCACATATCCAGTAAAGTTAGGCACAAAGAATAAGAAAGAAAACAAGAATACATGGTTGAAGTACGGGCGTTTAGCAGTGTATTAAGCATTGGAAAGCACCACTCTAATTGAGAAAATGATAAGGTTGCAAAAAAAATAAATATTCTGAAAGGAAATAGCAAATCAAGAAAACCCCAAATGGACAGAAAAAGGGGATAAAAGAAAAAGAAAATCTCATCCTCCTACACCATTACAACACTTCAACAGTACAGTAAAGCAAATAATACAGCAGCTTTAAGCAATGAACCTATCCAAGATCTGTAAAATTTTAAAAATAATCACCTCTCTAATTTGCAGAAGCTGCTCACGTGTGTAACGCACACTTTCGCGGCTGTCAAAGCGCGAGTCTCCACTCTGGAACAAAACATAATTCACAAACCGATCTCAGTTAAGCCAGATTCTATAACACACACAAAAAAGAATGAAGGAGAAATGAAGTTAGAAAAGAAGATGAAATTGCTAGAAAAGTTAAGAGATTCGACATCATTGTTGCACAGTGTCCGTATAGTATATCCTTTATATGGAAACTGCAGCTAACCAAATGCCACATAAAAGTCTAAGAAGCACTTACTGTCCATGTTTACAGTAGTTATAAACTTATAATACATGCTTTCCAGTAAAATTTCTTGTACGGCTGGTACCATGAAGTTTGAATTCTTTGAAGAAACACATGGGATAATTAACAGAAACACCGGAGACATAGAGACATGAAGAAGCAAGACTTGAGATATGCTTAACGACCACGACAATCGAATCAGAAACTAAACAATCAGATGATAACTTAAACCTGGGAGATTTACAGAAAGAAACGGCGGCATGAAATCGGGAAACGCATGGCAGGACCTCAATAACCCAAATCCAGAGAAAAGAACTAAATCCCGAGAACGACAAGACATGAACTCAAAAACATAGAGGCATCTGACATGAAAGAACGAAGGTACCTTACCTTGAGGGAAAAAGAGGAAGGAGGAGTGCTGCCATGAGGACGAAAGAGAGGAAGATCCGAGGGAAGGGAACCGAACGATAGAGACGAAGAAGAAGAGGAGGAGCCAAAGCGTCTGCCTCCTCTACCGCCACCAGGTCTCAAGCTAAGCACCGTCTGGTCACCCTGCTGCATACCTCGTCCTAACAGCCCAGATCGAATTCCAATCTCCGAGAAAAATCGATCAGAAACCGATGAAGATGGAAGCTTTCCAGCGATTGGTGAACGGATAGAATTGACGGAGAGGTCCGGTTTTATTACTCTCTCTCTTCTGCCGGAAGCGAAGAAGAGGAGAACGGTGAACTCGAGAAGAAAGACAATCCCTTCTCTCTTATTACTCTCTCTCTCTCTCTCTCTCTCTCTCTCTAGACTGATCCAATTAGGAATCTTCGTTTATGCCTACGCAATTACGGTTGTGTCCTTGTCTATGTGTATAAGAGAGAAACATTCAAGTAGGGATATGTTGGTCTTTCTCCCTAGTGTGTTTTTTTTCACTCGCATTTATGTCCGTTTCCTAAATTTTATTCATACGTTCAATATAAATTTAGATTAAATAAAATATTATTATATGAAATACAAAACATATGCAAACAAAATCATGCAGAAAAAAGAACTATGAAAAAAGTTATCCAACAGTTTGAAGAAAATGAATACAAAAACAAAACATAGAGGGATGTGGATAAACGAGTGTTGTCGTTGTTGTTATGTTGATGTATAGAATTACAAAATTGAATTGGAATCCATAAATAATCCATTCATGCTTTAATTGGGAATGCTGCTAAATTTTTTTTATAAAAATATCCAAAATACTCTTCTTTTTTTTTTCTAAAACTATATATTCCTCAATGTGACCATGCAACCAGAATAACTATATCATCATATAGTATTCACATTGGTCACAACGTTAAATTTATGATGATTTCATCAAATGATTAGTGTGATATACAAGGTGTGATGGTGATTCGATATAACCACTATAAATTCAACGTTATAACCAATGTGATCATATAGTTATTCTATAGAAGTAGTTTTAGCAAAAGAAATATATTTTGGATAATGTCCCTCTAAAACAAGTCTACACATCTTTTTCAATAATGTTATTATTCGAAAACAAACGAGTTACTAATATTGCCGTAAAGGCGTATTAAATGAGTTTTGGATATATGAATGGTTTACAATTACGATTTACAAATGGGTGACCATGACTCCGACATGTCATACATAGATATTAAGGGTAAGGGGTTATTAACGGTACGGTACGGGTGGTTCGGATTTCAATTAATTGGGGTTAGTTTGAGTATATTTGGATTTGGTTATAACTAATTCAATTTTTTATTGAATTCCGTTGAAGTTTTATTATTTTCGAGTTTTATTGATATAATACTCATTTTAAAAAAATAATTTTCACTTACTTTTTTTTTAAAATTTTCTTCTGAATTCGATTTCAGTTTTTATTTTCAATTTTACAAAAAATAGAACTGTCCGTTTTTTTCCCCGGATTTGATTGAATTAGTTAATTCACTGGTTTTTAGGTCTCATGGGCCATGGACACACTCTTCGAGACTCACTATTGGGCCGACAACGAGTCTGAGATTACATCAAGATCTGGCTCAATTCAATAAAAAAGACACGACCATATCTATGTAACACATCAATATAAGTGGGCTCTTTATTTTGGGCCTGATACTATAATGGGCCTGACACATCAAATGGCAGCTACAGTCAACGGATGATGGAGAGTTTTGTTCTATAATAATAATAATTTAATCGCTAAATGAATACATTAGAGTTGATTCTAATTTTTACCACGGTTTTTCTTTTGTGCAGTCATGTTTCTCTCGCCCATTTGATTGTTCCCCCAATGTTTTATTCCAACTACTGCATGATTTTTAATTATTTGATTTCGCTCGATTATAACATATCTCAGATGAATAGTAGTAGTAATTAAAATTTCAACAAAAAGTATTATTATTATTCTTTTCTTTCCATATTTTTTTTAAGTCTCGATAAGACAGACGGTTGATTGTAATAAATTCATAGATTTTATTTATTCATTTATTTATTGTAATAAATTTTAAAATGAGTGTAGGCAAGATGATAATATTGAGATAGATGTGCGGACACACAAAAATAGAAAGAATTAGAAATTAGATTATTAAAAAGAAAATAGAAATAATAGGTATCGAAAAGAAGGTACGAGATGGACGTTTATGATAGTTTGGACATGTACCACAAGTAGCGGACCTAGCAAAACTTTTAACTAGGAAAAAATTTATTTTTCATATGATAAACATAATTTTTTTTATGGGGACATTTATTAAATTTGGTTAAAATATAATATGATTTATGAAGAATTATACATTTTAATCATAAAAATGGGGGTATATGCCCCATATATCTCAACGTGGGTCCGTCCTTGTGTACAATGTAGATCAATAGATACGTCGGTTAGAAAAGTGAAAAGTATAGGAACATAAATGAGGAAAAAAAGGAAGAGATAGATCTACACTTATTTAGAAAAATGTCATTAAAAACGATTTGAAAGTGTTACTTATTCTGAAAAAATTAATTCGGGATCGAAATTAGTGGAGAAAAAGGGTTAAAAACGATTTGAAAGTGTTATTTATTCTGAAAGAGTTAATTCGGGATCGAAATTAGTGGATAAAAAGGGTTTATGTGGCTGATCTCAGATAAAGTTGGGAATGAGACTATGTTATTGTTGTATTTATTTTACAGGCGAGATTGTTGTGTAGATTGGGGGACAGGAGTTGTACTAGGGGTGAGCGTTTCGGGATTCGGTTCGGAATTTTAACGGTTCGGTTCGGGAACGGTTTATTCGGTATTATAAAATTTGTACCAAATTAGTACCGTATATTATTCGGTTTGGTTCGGTTCGGTATTATGACGGTTCGGGACGGTACGGTACTAATAAATAAGTACCAAATAAGAACCGAAATAAAGACGGTTCGGAAACGGTTCGGGACGGTTCATAACATATTCATAATTTATATAGTATACAAATAAAAAAAACATCCAACATAATAATTTTAGAGAACAAAATAAAAGTATTGAACTTGATATAACCATAAGGAAATTTTACATAATAATTTTGAAATTTTCTATAAATATGATCAAAATTTTAAATTACACTTTAAAAATTATATCATATATGTAGAAATCCTTCTTTACCGACAAGTAAAATGTATGCAATATAAAAAAAGACAAAAAATAATATAAATAAAAAGAGATAAAAATAAAATATTTATTAAGTAAAATATAGTAATTATCATAATTAATTATTAATATTAAATATTTTTAATTAAAAATAAAAAATACCGAAATACCGTTCGTATTTACCGAACCGAACCGAACCGTTCTCGAACCGTTCGGTATCTTAAATCTTGTATTGTTCGGTATTTTTATATAATACCGAACCGAACCATTCCCGAATTAATCGGTTCGGTACGGTTCGGTACTAGATTCCCGAACCGAATTAACCACCCCTAAGTTGTACTTTGTATTTATGTCAAACAAACAATTTCATCATCATTTAAAAATATTTCAGATTTGTTTCCACTTCTAGAAAAAGAAAAAAACCGCTGACATTTCCATATCTAAAAATATTATGGAAGACTTTCAATCTCAGGGCCCTACAGGTAGGGGGCGTCTCTCGTAATCGATCTGAACATCTTCCAAAGATCTGCAATGGCGATTCTGTGATCCTTCTCGATCTCGGCCATTGTCGTGTCCTCGACTGCTTTTTCCACAGATCTTCCATTCCCCCGATCGATGCATGCGGATTGACTGAGGAGGAAGAATGGAGAGAGCGACGAGCCTTGGGGTGAGAGGGGAGACATCGGGGCTGAGAGAGACACTGTCGGCGCAGCAGGAGCTTCTGCACAAGCTCCGGCATGAGCTGGACGCCGAGCGCGAGGCCTCCGCGACTGCTGCCAGCGAAGCCCTAGCCATGATTCTGCGGCTCCAGGGGGAGAAGGCGGCTCTGGAGATGGAGGCGAGCCAGTACAAGCGCATGGCCGAGGAGAAGATGTGCCATGCCGAGACCTCCCTCGCTCTATTCGAGGATCTCATCTACCAGAAGGAGATGGAGATCGCTTCCCTTGAATTTCAGGTTCAGGCTTACCGCTGCCGGCTCCTCAGCCTTGGATACTCTGATCCAGCCGTCCTCGAGAACAAATTCCCGGAGAATCTCTTCTTCTTGGGCGGCGAACCTTCGGCCGGAAATCAGAAGCGGAATTTGAACAGGCTTCTTTCGGTATCTTCTCATACCATGTTAGTTATGATGACTGCATTGCCGATTTGATCAAGTCGTCCATTTGGATTTGAATCGATTAAAAGCTTGAATCTCTGTGGCAGAGCCCGTTGGATGGAATTAGCAACGACAGGAGCCCCCTCCTTTCCGACATTGAGAGCTTGGATGAGAAGAAATCTGGCGAGAGTTCAGTGTCTCCTCCTGGGGATTTGAATGCGTACTGGGAACAGATCAAGAGAATCGACGAGCATGTTCGTGGGATTTCTGATTCAAGGGATCATCCTCCTCCTCACAAGTTTTCAATGGCGAGGCGTGAATCAATGTCTCACGCCCTGGTTTCTCAGGTGAGCAATGCCATCCTAGAGACAGCCAAGAGCGACATCAGTTGCATCATGGAGAAGATGAAGAACTCCACGAGAGACACTCCTTCCGAATCTCCTCCTGTCCCTTCTTCAAATGTTCAGGACATCTTTGAGGTCCCCCGGTCGAAAGAGAGCCTTTCAGCCGTCTCGGAAGACGGGGAACTCAACCAGAAAAATGTAAGTCAACACCCAACAATGGCCTGAAATGGTTCTACTTCTAGAGTAGACATGAATCAATGTCTCGCAAAGTGTTTTGTTGAGAGAAACAACTGACAGAAAGAAAGAATCACAGATGGAGAAACGCAGCGACAGAAGCCAGAAGATGAAGGAACTCGAGAGAAGACTGAGTAAGCCGCCGATGAGAGAGATGGGCGTCGTCAAGACAGAACATCTTAGTTTGCTGAAGGAGATCAAGGAACAGCTCAACGTGATGCAGTCTGAGATGAGAAGCTTGAGATCGGAGCTGCGGCAGCAGCCGAGGTCTCCTCCTCAGGAGGCGGAGGAGGGTCGAGCCCTTCAGTCGCTGAAAGAGGCAAGTTTCATGTCTTCTTCTATGGATGTCCCGAATTCTTTACAGGGAAAAAAAAAGATGACAGATTTTTTGTTGCTTTGAACAGGCCATCGCTTCCTTTTGGCTATAACCAGCTGCCCAGTTTCTGATTTGGGTTTCTCTGATGGAAGCAATCTTTGAAGAAGGAGAGAGTGATGTAAAAAATACAAAAAGTACTCATTTTTTTTTCTATTTTCTTTGTAGAGGAATTCATTTTAAATTTTATCTCTGATTCTATGTTTGTGATCCAAGTATATGTTTGTGATCCAATTATTTATTTGAATAAATTTTCAAAAGTCTAGATATTTATATAGAATTTTTAAAATTTTAGGTATTTATATAAAAATTTTATATTTATCTATTTATATGAGATTTTTATAAAAATTTAAATATTTATATGTTATTATCCTATTATAATATCAATGACTGGTTTTTCTTCGACCGAAGAAATTTCCGGACGAGAGAGATCCAAAAAATATCAAGGGCTCATTTCCATGAGCCGGGTTGGGATAAAGGATCCGAATAATCCCCATATGGGGTCATTTACAGGCCCATTTAAAGCCCAATGACGATACAGCCCCATGAGGTTCTGGCGAGATGTTAAAGGGCCATTTGAATCCAGCCATCTTCCTCCCAGCCAACTCGTTCTTCCCCCCGCAGATTTGACTCCCAAACTCTCCGCGTTTGCTCGTTGATTTGATCGGCCATGGCTGACGAGGTGATTTCCTCCTCTTTCTTAACGTTACGCACTCAATTTGCCGGGGAATTTGACCTGGATCCTAATAAGATCGATCAGTAAACGTTTTGGGATCGGGTAATTTTGAAATCCGACTTTGAGTTGTATTAAAGATATCTATCAAGGAGTCTTTCCTTTTCAATGTTTCCGGTTTTTATGGGTTTCTCCGGGAGGATGAATGACTGATTTGATGAAATTCGATCGGTAGGTAGTAGTCAGGCGAGACTAATCTTAAAATCTCGCCTAAGATGATTATTGGGACTGAGAGCGAGAGATTGGTCTCTTCTGAATCCTAGAAGATCCGATTGCACAGGGCGCATGGTATCCAATGGTGAAATGGGGAGTGCTTTTGCTTTGTAGTCATATATATGGCAGAGTTGTCATTTTACTTAGAATTTTCTCAAACGTGTGATTTCTGCGTTTGTCATTTTGCTTAGATTAGATCAGATATTATAGGAGGTTACGTTTTTGAACTTTGAATTCTGCAAGGTGTTGGTTACGCAGTTGTTTCCTGTTCCACAGGCTAAAGCAGCTGGATATGGATTATGTGTGATATCCTGAAACCAGATTTTGGAGTTGACTTTTGGTCATAAATATTACCTGAGATTTCTGTTTCTTTAGATTTATCTTACTTGTGATTGTGCGGTGTTACTAGATTGAGCTGAAAACTGCCCCTGCGGATTTCCGTTTCCCTACGACAAACCAAACCAGGCACTGCTTCACTCGTTACATCGAGTTCCACAGGTAGTATTGCTTTAGAACCTCAAAAACGACATACAACACATTTTCAAGTCGTGGCAATGAATTTACTGCAACATCTCTTTTGAAAAATCAAAACTTTAAATTCAGGTGCATAGCTGCAAAGGGTGAAGAGTCCAATGATTGTGGAAAGTTTGCAAAGTTCTATCGTGCCCTCTGTCCTGGAGAATGGGTGTGTACCTTTTGTCTTATTTATATCATCTTGTCTGTGTTCTCGCCATGGTTTTTCATGGGTCCTCCTAACCTTATAGAGAGTGATGCCTGTGAGATCATCGCAGGTCGAGAGGTGGAACGAGCAGAGGGAGAACGGAACTTTCCCAGGTCCCCTGTGACAAGCTGTGTTTGCCATCTTCCCATGCAAGAAACTCCAGAATGGAACAATGGTACAAAGTTTTAGACTTTTGTTTTTTGTTTTATGGAAAAAAAGGTTGTTTGATCTTGATGATGTCCTGAAATCAACAGTGTCTCTGGTGTCTTTATTTCTTCCCAAGGGTTTTCTTTCGATGGTTTAAGAAAGCCTGCTAAATAACTGGAGGGATTATGTTTACTATTGCCAATTGCCATTAACTATTATTATTGCTGGTTGGTATCTGAATTCTAAAAACATGTTTTAAAGCCGTTAACTAGAGTGGGATAGAATTTTTGGATAGGTGTGGAAATCTGCGGATTACTGGTTGTCAATGTACTGTTAGATTTGAACGCAATAGCCCTTTTTTATCTGTTCCAATGGCCGATGTCTCACGTGATGAAACCAATCAGTGGGGTTTCTATTCAATGACTCCCACCATCATATGGGTAAACAGCCTCTTCCTTCTTTTTTTCTTCCCCGTCAATATGTGTGTGTGTGTAACTGTGAGTCCTTATGACTTCACATGACGTATATATTAGTAATGCTGGTTATTGTTGTTGCACACAAAGTTTTGTTAAGAACAAGATTTGTGGTTTTGCTACGAGTTTAAACAAGGGCGATCAGGACAGATGGATTAAGGAGTGTGATCTATATTATTTGTGTGATTCGGGATGTGGGTTTTACTTAATTTATACATTTGTTGTTTGTTAGAACATGTGGCCAATGTGGTGAATAAGTAAATTGTACAATAACTTTAACCGAATCCAATTAAATATTAAATATTATAGAAAAATCGTGTGGTTATGATTTTTTTAAAAGCTAAAAAAAATTAAATCTTAATAGAATTAAATCAAATAAAAAAAGTAACAAAAAAATCATCTTTTAAAAAATCTATTAGTTATAACTTTCAATGAATCTAAGTAATCGGATCCTAATGTATCCTACTATAACTAAAACGAAACGACCACATTATATCACCGGGTATTTTGGGCCACGGTTTATATTAATTTCGGGATCGGAAGTCATCCGAATGATTTGGAATATACGTTTTCCTCTATATACCCGAGAGTTTCGAATTCTATACGTTTTGCATTTTCATTTCATAAGATGATTAAATTACCAAAGTTAGGATAGCATGGATTAAATAATTGAGCACATGAGTTTACCGAGCAGACGGGCAAGAGAGAAGCAAGACAAAAACACGCAGAGACAGAGACGCGGTTGGTACACATGAAACGTGAAGAAAGCACACGTGTACACGCAAAAACAATAACAATAATGACAAAACCAATAATACAAAAAAATAATAATGGAGAGAGAGAAGGTGAGATCCCAATCAGAGAGAGGCGGAAACAACTCAGCCAAGAAAAAGACGTAATGTGTCTTCTTATATATAAATGAGACATGCATGCATGCATGGTTTGCATGCTTCCCCTATCTCTATCTCTGCCACTGGCCCCCCCTCATATTAATATTCGCATTAAAAAATATTAATAATTGAATTTTTTTTATGAAATAATAATAATAATAATAATTGAATGTTGAAAGAAAGGGTATGGTTTCGGTGAATATGTTAAATAAAAAAGTGTATATATATACACATAGAAGTAATTCGAGGATATAACTTTACGAGATATACTAAAGCGCTAGCTAGGGGGCCATATGAAATAGTCGGTCGAGTGGTCTAAATCATTTGTATCCGAAAAAGTCAAACCCTATATTTTACGTACAATATTATATTAAATCAATGTATAACATTATAAAGACGTGAGGAACAAAAAAAACAATACCGTGATGACTGAAAATGTTCAATTTAATTCATGAATAATTAAACGAAGTTCTTTCGAGTCTCTCTCTCTCTCCAAGGGTGTGTAATGTGTATATCCATTCGTATATATTAACGTATTTAGGAGGTCACGCATATATACATAAATATATATATATATAGATGGGCGAGAGTACAGATATTTTCGACAAGTATTAATGACAAGCTAAATTATTGCATCCAGTCACTTCTCATCGATAATTATAGATTGTATTTATAAGGTATTGAATATTATTATTGAACCCTGTTACATAAGTGCAGTATTTAAGTAGAGAGTTAACTCTAATTAAAATTGGTGAAAATACAAATATATCCTTCTATAATATTTTTTTGGTTAAAAAACATAGATAGTATTTGGAAGTCCTACTTGGAAGTTGATCGATGCTTTTTTTTTTTACGAATACGTTAAAATTCGGTAATTTGGTGTCGAACGAGTAATTAACAAACCCAGTTACCCAACAGTTGGTGATCCAGTGGTTCAGAGTTGACAAAGTCATCTTCAAGGTTCTGAGTTCGATTTCACTAGTGGAGAATGATGTGATTTCTGGATCAAAATGATCCATTTACAAAGGCGGATCATAAACCTATAATGAATGTAATCGGGTCGAAAGGTTTGGGAACCATCGGTTATAAAAAAATCCAGTTATAGCTATTTATCAAATTTATATACGACGACGGATCGGATAGTTGAAATATATAGCTATCTATCAATAATGTGAGAATTTTGTATGTATCTATTATTATTATTATTATTATTATTATTATTATTCAATGTCTGTGGAGTTGAAGCTTGGAACGTGGCCGTATTCATAGTCTTCCGGATTGCAATCCCATCCCATGGCCATGCTCGGTCAAAAAAAAATGTTTTTTTTTTCTGTCGACCAACCCATTATTAATTTCATACGTGTATTATTTGAACTAGCAAACAACAACATATGCGATCATCATTCACATAAAAACTTTGCATATTTTATTTTATATTATTCACCACCATCAAGTCATCAACCTAAACTTCTAATCAATGGGTTTATTAGGAACCGCAAATTAACACGCTTTGGTTCAATACTCATGCAGAATCTTCAATAACCAAAATTTCATGGAAAATTAATTAATGGGTTCCGTACCATATGTTACATATTTCAGTACATAAAGAAATATGTGTTACGCTATTGGCAGAGCGCGTGAGAGACAAGAGACATCCATTGTGTTTCAGTTCAATGTTCTATAAATAGCAAATATCTCCCCCTCTCTCTTCTACAACAAACAACACATTCTCTCTCTCTCTTCCAAGACATATCACACGTGTGAGCACTCCCGCACGTGAGCTAAAAAAGCGCAAGGGGATGAGGTGGAGGGTAGTGCAGATGAGGAGGAGAAAGAGAGTGGTGGTGAATTCGAGAGCGGCGGAGGAGAGGAAGCTCGTGAAGCGTCTCCGGCGGATGGTTTCTCCGCCGGAGAATTTTTCCGGCGACGTTGATACTGAGACGCTTTTCCGGCGTACGGCCGATCACATTTCCCTTCTTCAAGCTAAACTCTGTCTCCTCCGCCGTATCTCCTCCATCTGCGGTCTCTGAAACTCACACACACTTGCTTCTCTCTCTCTATCTTTCTCTCTCTCTCTCTCTCTATATATATATATATATATTAGCCATATGTAATACCTGTGATGTGATTATGGCATGGATACCCGTAATTAATTAAGGGCGTGCACGCGAATATCTGTCTTCTTAGTTCTTACTGCCTAGCTAGACGTGGTACGTCAACGAAGCACCAAAAAAAAAATCGTATTTGTAACGTGATAGATCAATCTATTGCAATGGTTGGTTGCAAGGTTCGGGTTATTATGAAAACATTGTATATATCGTGAATATATTTCATTAGCTGTTACGGTCAATAAGTATAGGAGTTGATATTTACCGATATAATGCTATATATAGAAGCAATCATAATTATTCAGCGTTTTTTTTACGGCGAGTTCTAGATTTTTATATCCATTTTTTTAAAATTCATTGTAGTTTTCATGTGTGTATATTTATTAATTTACCGTCGGACTAATGGTAAAGTTTGATCATTTTTAAAAATGAATCGATTATGAGATAAAGGTCTAGATGGTAAATTGCGCTATTATTTGGGTCCAATAAGTGAAGTTTCCATATTATCGCTTTCGAAGTGACGGGTTGATGGCCGAACTGAAATGTCCCTTTCACCAACTCCACCGAAAAGAAAAAAAATCGATACATGTTCATTAATTAATGTGCTTCAACGTTTAATTTCCCTATAGTTTCCTTTGAGAAAAATGCGTAAAATAAATAAATAAAATTTTCGTTTAAATAAAAAGAAAATCGATATATTTTATCATCAACCAGAAAAAAAAAGCTTTCGTCTAAAAAAATAAAGAAATAAATAAAAGTTTCTCTCCGTAGAAATAAATAGGAATGGACGTTTCGGAAAACGGTTTGAGTTCGGGATGGGAATAGATCGGTTCGGTTTTTTCGGTTTTACAAAAATAAGTACCAATCGGTTTTTATATTGTATTCGGTTCGATTTCGGTATCGGTTCGGTTCTAGATTTTATTAAAAAAAGATAGATTTCTTTTAAAAATATTCGATTTTTCAGGATTTTTAAAGTTCGGTTCAGTTCGTTTCGGTTCACGGAAAAATTAGATTCTCCAAAAATGATACCGTTCGGAAATTAAGAACGGTTTCGAATCGAAAAAAATACCGTTTTTTGGTTCGGTTCGATTCGATTCCGAAGAATCGAACCGAAATGCTGTCTCCTAGAAATAAAAGGTGGGAAGGGGTGTGGATGTGGTGTGACCGTGTGAGTCTGTCATTATTGACCAATGGACAATAGCACACCGCACGTGTGTAAGAATCTATGTTTTGGGCCGGGCTTTTTAGGCCCAAGCCCGTAGATAATGGATATTAAAAATTAAAATAATATCGATAGACAGATGCCCATGTCCAAGGCCCAAGAATTAGTTAATCGTGTATCAACAAAAACACAAAAGTAAAAAAAAAAAAAAAATCATTAGTTCACCCGTTCATGTAAATCAAACACTTGAGGGTAATTTTTTCCCCCTCTAATACATATTTTCAAAATATATTGTGCATGAATGAGAGGATAATATCAATAATCCAAGGTAGTACAGCAAATTATTTAGGTTTGATTCATAAAAAAAAAAATACAACGTACGGGTTCAAGTCTTATGTCTAAAAACGACGAGGAGGAGAGGGAGGGATCAACGTTTTGTGTCTCACCCATCACATGAGGAGGAGAAAGACAACAACTCATCTTAGTTGCTCTCTCTCTCTCTCTCTCTCTCTCTCTCTCTCTCTCAATTCTAAACCATAAAACTTGATTAGTTTAATGTGGGTGCCAAGTTTGTGGCAATCATACCCATAACATGGCATTTATTCACATGCTCCTCTTCTCACCGTCCAACCATGTTCTTCGTGTACGGATAGTCACCATGCAATGCCATTATATATATATATATATGTGTGTGTATGTATATTCCATACGAATGGATGAAAAAAAATAAAGTTGTCGACTTTCCTCAAAATCGTCGATCATATGATGTCATCGTGTTCGTTGAACAAAACAGGGCGCGGGAACTTCGGCGGCTGGTTCTGCCATCTTATTTTTCTCGATTTACACCATTCCTAATTCGCTCGCGCAATTACGGCCATTACTCTCAAAAATAAAAATAAAATAGTAAATAAATTCGGTTCTTATTGTCATTCTGTAAAAATCCCTATTTTAATTGAGGGGTTGGGATCTTTGGAGGAACAGCGAATCCTGGATGATTTTTTTTCCCTTAAAAAGTTTGGTCAAATTCTTCGATTCCCCTTTCTAAAAGCGGGAGGCGGATGATCTGGACAGAATAGAAAACAAAATCCCAGATTTCTATTTTCTCGTGTTAAGTTTGCGGGTTTGCACCCTCACCCACAACCTTTGATTCCTCGACGGTTTGATTCGATTCGAGTGTTCATAATTCCGTTTCTTCGAGCTGAAATTCGAGTTGGGCCATCGTGAATTTTGTTGATTTCTACCATCTCGATGCAATTCGCTCAATCAAGGTAATTTTCTTGGTGTTTTTCTTTACGGCGCAGCGAATCGTTCCTTCTATTTCACCGACCGGAATCATATACAGAGAAGCCATTGATCATCATGGCGAGAATGAATTGACTGTTCTCTGAGGATCGCGCGAGTGTGATGGAGGTTGGATAGGGTTCATCTGGAAATTTGGGGGCAGATCGAAAGGTTTTGATTCGAAGCGAAATGAGGTTTCTGAGCCTCGTCGGCAATTCTTTCGGCTGTTCCGCTTCCGGCGAACGCTTAGTCTCGGCGGCGAGAGACGGCGATTTACAGGAGGCGAAGGCTCTTTTGGATTATAACCCCAGACTTGTACGGTACTCAACCTTCGGCGTTCGTAACTCTCCTCTCCATTACTCTGCTGCTCAAGGCCATCATGAGGTACGCCATTGATTTTCAGCTTCTGTTTCATTCATAGATCCCATGGCTTGTTAAGTTTTATCCTTCCATAATGTATCCACCGCCAAAGGGTGTTTAGCAACGGCTACAAGATCGATCATTGACTAGTCCTTGTCAAGATCTTTGTACCGTAATTCCGGTTTGTTGATGTGGCCAAAATGGCTCGTATGTTCTATAAATCGAGTCACGGAAGATGTGGCCATTGCCTTGTGCTTGATGATGATGATGATGGCTTGGCTTTGTTTATCTTCAGATAGTTTCTCTGCTGGTGGAGTCAGGAGTGGATATCAATCTCCGGAATTACCGTGGTCAGGTATGGCTAATCAGATACAGATTTTCTTTACATTATCGATCATCAGTTCAAAATATTAAACTCTGGATCTTGAATCAGACGGCTTTGATGCAAGCTTGTCAACACGGTCACTGGGAGGTTGTTCTGATACTGATTCTTTTCGGCGCAAATGTAAGATGATCATTGTGATATTCTCTTGAACCATTAACAGATCATGAATTCCTGCTATTGAGATAATGATGTGTTCTTGAAAACGGGCTTTAGATTCACAGATCAGATTACCTAAATGGAGGCACGGCCTTGCACCTCGCCGCTCTAAATGGTCACCCGAGGTGTATAAGGATCCTGCTTTCAGATTACATACCCAGTATCCCAAACTGCTGGAGGATACTGAGGGATACATCAGAAAACGATGAATCAATCACCGAGTTCAATAAAAGGTGAAGTCTTTTGCTGTTTAGGCGGTTATTCACTCATTGTACAATAGAAAAATTCATTGGGTTTCACTGTGTTTGTGTTTGCCGAATGCATCAGTGCTCTCCATGATGTGATCAACAGAGCAGCTGATGGGGGCATTACTGCTTTGCATGTGGCTGCTCTGAATGGGCATGTAGAAACGGTGCAGTTACTCTTGGATTTGGGAGCTTCTGTGACTCAGGTCACTGTTGACGATGGTTCCACAATCGATCTAATAGGTTATTATATTTACCCACCCTTGTCTCTGCCTTTGATGATTTATAAACATGGCCTGGAGAAATTCATCTACCCTTGTCTCTGCCTTTGATGATTTATAAACATGGCCTGGAGAAATCCATCTACCCTTGTCCTTCGATGACTCGGTAGTATTCTGATTTGGCCTTTGTTTGACGTTACAGGTGCCGGGAGTACAGCCCTCCATTACGCTGCCTGTGGAGGTAACATCCAGTGTTGCCAGGTAACATCGTAAACCAAGTCTGAGTTATGATGCAGAATAATCGGTCTAATTCTTATATTTACGGAGAGATTCTGGGTTTTGTTACTTTTTTTATGTATTTAGATTCTAGAGTATTGGGTTTTCGTTTCTTTTTCATCACTACTTATGCTGTCAAACGGTATCTTTATGTTCGTATTTGAGTCTTGAGCATCTGTTCCATTTTCCAGCCTTTCTGTTAGAAACTACATCAAAGTAACATTTTTTTTCAATTCATTATACATTTCACTGGCTTGAATGTTTTGTTTTCTCTGGTTTTTCTCAGCTTTTGATTGCTCGAGGTACCAGTTTAACTGCGGTAAATGCCAATGGGTCAGTTTTTTTTTTTCTCAATGCCCTTTACTGGCCAAACTCAATACTAATGGAAAAAACACAATGCCATAGTTTGATGTAAACCACAATGTTTGGGCTCTGTTTTTTGTGCTTCAGATGGACGCCTTTGATGGTAGCTCGCTCGTGGCACCGGAATTGGCTCGAGCAAATTCTGGACACAATTGCAGAGCCTCCTCAGCGTCATCCGCCAAGCGTTTCCTCTCCATTTATATGCCTTCCCCTCATGAGCATTGTCAAGATCGCACGGTAAGTAAAGGCGGTTCATCTGAATATCTAAAGACTACTTCAACAGTTAAATCATCTTGTTGGCGGATTCGCAGCAATGTTCAATACTAACCCTGAAAACAATAGAAAAGAAGAAGAAAGATTTGCGGGTTTTGTTAATAGTAGATTTTTTGTGTTTCAGAGAATGTGGCTGGCAGAGAAATGACTGTCCGACTCCATGTCGCGACCCATGCTCTGTTTGTTTGGAGAGAAGATGCACCGTTGCATCAGAAGGTAAATAGATCATCTTCCAATATTTGGACAGTCTTTGAAGTGCAAGATTAAGCAGATACATCAAATAATTAACAGCCGAGAGTAATACAATGTTGCATTTTTTTTTTTGGGAAGGATGTGGGCATGAGTTCTGCACCAACTGTGCTCTGTACCTCTGCACAACAAACATGGCCACTCATGCATCATCATCGTCATCAGCAGCAGCAGGAGGAGGTTCAGTCCCATGCCCATTGTGCCGACAAGGTATTGTCTCGTTCTCCATGCTTCCCGGAACAAGAACATCATCGGCTGGTACAAAAGAGACCGCGAGAACGAGCCTGTCGTTGTCGTTCTGTACGTGTTCCAGCGAAGTCCTAGACACCGCTCTCCTCACAAATCCGCCCTATAGCTGCAAGCCTCCTCCTCCCCCGGTCGGATCATCCTTCCGGTCACTCAGCTGCCATCGGTTTGCACCCGGTCTCTGTCTCGGCGGCCCAGATGCTGTCGAACCGCATGGCCATGGCCACGGCCGATTCACCGGAGGATATTCTCGTCCAGGAGGGGTAGGGTTCCGTCGATCTACGTCCCAGGGCGAAGGGAAACGTTCTTGGTTCTCTGCTCTTAACCAATGCGTCACCATGGAAAGCGGATGCTAGGAAAATTTGTCTCCTGTCTCGTCCAGGTCTTTGGATTTTTTTTATTTTAAATTTTTTTTTTTGGGAAAGGGTTAAATATAAATAATATTAATGTATTCTTTTATGATTTGTTTCTGATGTAATGTATCTCCAAGTAATATTGCTGGAAACTGCGTGATATGTTCTTGTAAATATCTAATAATTCTTTTTATGGGGCTCCCTTCTGATATCTATAATATAACAACACATTCGCATAATTAATGGACAACATGTATAAGGGTGCCAGTGCATCTCCGATCAAGAAAAAGAAGTGCAACCTCACCATACATTAATTACATAACATCACGCGGTTACATAACATAACATGTTATACAAAGCTCAGGAGGAATAGACAAAGAAGACAGAAATGAAACAAGAATAGAGATATAAACAACATAGACTTTGAAATCAGAATAAAAAAGAAAAATATAAAAATGATAGAAAGTTTTAAAAGTCTTGCAAGATCAAGAAAAACTGAAACAACGTGGAGGTGAGAGAAAATAAAAATACGATAGTGGAAAAAAAAAAGAAAAAAAATCGACAAAGCTCAGTTAGGACAACACCGTAGCAAGGCTAATGGCCTGAAAAATCTTCGTAAGCATTGGACATCTCTGCATTCCGGAGCACAGTTGGGTACAGCAAGAAATTGGAACAGAAACAAAACATGATCATGATCATCATGAAGAAACATGGCATGATGATGATCCTCATCATCATGATGACGAAGATGAAGAAGACAAGGTGCAAAAGGCATGAAAGCAAGAAGAGACTGTCCGGGGTCCTGTCTTGTGTTGACAAGGTTATTTGAATGGGAAACGAACTGATGGATGTTTGAAAGAGACTTGTGTTGTGTTTGTTTATACGGGGGGAACACATGGTGGTTATATAAGGAGAGCCATAAAAATGATATTTTATAAACATTACAAGAAATATTAGCATATTTAAATTGTATTTATACAAACCATATTTATATGTACGTCTACAACCAATATCTTTTTATGTTATAATTTAAAGTTGATGGGTTACAAAAAAAAATCCAGATAAAAGATGGCTTTTTATTTTGAGTTTTTGGTTTCAGTTTTTGGATTTTATATATTTGAAAACTCAAAAAAAGTTTTTGGTTTTTTAATGATTTTTTCACTAAAATGGTTTTCCAAATTTTTAAGAAAAATAATTTTATAAAAACTTAAATGATAGTTTTTTTGGTTTTTGGATCCTAAAAACCTACTACAATAAGAAGAACCATTTTTTTTCATATAATTACTATACAGTACTATTGTATAAATAAATATGATATTATATAAATTAGTTATAATGAACATTTTTTATTAATTCAAATTCATTATTAAATTGATTCTATAATTGTTGAAATATATCAATAATAATTAAAGGGTTTATTTAAAAATTGAAAATGAATTGTATTCATGTTAAAAACCTAAATTTATGGATTTTTTAAAAATTATTATTTTTATCATTAATATAGAAAAACGTCACAAAATTATTGATTATATTTAAATATTTTTTATCATAAAAATTAATGATTTTTTAAAATCATTAATAAATTTATTAATAATTTTTTTTATTATATTTTTTATCAATAATTTTTATTATATTAATTTATATATTTTTTTCGATATACAGGTAAACAGGGTCCCGAAAAAGATTCTGAGTGTATATATGCATGCTATAATCTTATTGCTACCCTCACAATGATCAATTCATGATTTAAATACATATGCATTTAAACTCTCTTTCATGCATTTCGCATTGCTTCCAATATAGAAACAGACGAAACATTCGATAAATCCACATGCAAAAACTTTAAAAACCCTTTTTTTTAAATAAAAAAATATTAAACGTTAGAACTCTCAGAAAAAAGTTAAAATAAAAAGGAAATTAATCTGCTTCGGGACTGTTTTTTTCACTGAAACAGTTCGGCTCTGCCGCATCTTTTACCTTCTGGGTCACGAAATTTTGGAGGAATGAGAAGCATTGGAACTCCAATTGGCTTCTTTTTCTTTATTTTTCTGATAAAATCGGGTTTTTTTCTTATTTATATTTAAATAAAATCGGCGTTTTTTTTGGGAGTAAATCGAAAACTGCGAAACAAAGCCAACACGTAACCAGCCATGCAATGCATTTTGCATGCAGAGACCCAGTTTTTGTTCTGTCCTTTTCTCCCCATCTCTCTTGTGTAATAATAAACGCAGGTTCCTCGTGAGCTTTGACTTCTCCCCTACCTTTTATTTTTTCTTTTTCCTTTCCTCTTTTATGTCTTCTAATCCTTTTTTATACCGTTTTTTTTCCTTCCGTCAATGGAACGGTAATTATATTTATACGTTAATGCAAAGTTGAAAAAAAGGGTATTATTTTCTTTACAAAAAAAAAAAAGAAAAAGAAAAGGTATTTTCCATGTCGGTATATGTACTCGTTGCATGGGAATTATGCAAGGGAAAAGAAAAACTACCTCTTTATAGCATAAGATTAAATATCAATAATATAAATATAAAATACGAAGCATCTTTTACCGTAAAGAACCAAGGTCAATGTACTTTGTCGTATAACTAAGAAAAGGATGAAAAAGAACCAAATTCTTTTCGACGGATTTAGTTTTGTCCAAAACATTTGTGAAACATTCACAAAAAAAAAAAATATGTGGATGAGTTGGACCGAAATTATATCATTGAACATCAAATATTTTTAAATCTTAGGAATAAAATTTTCATATGTTATAGTTACATATAATAGATAACTTATGAGCATAAACTAAGTTTTAGACGCATAAATTAAGTAAAAATGCAATATTGTGTGGAAATAAAAATGCGATGCTGCAGGAAACTCTCTTTGGAGTGGTTATTTAACTTTTTGGGAAAAAATATTGGGAAACGCAAAACGCAAAACGCAGAACGCGATTAGATGATGGGACTGGGACTGCCCTCGGCTTATACAGAGACTGTATGACCTTCCCAATGCTTCTCCCTCGGAATACACATACCCTTTATATGTGTGTGTGTGTATATTCATTCAGAAACACTTGCATCTATGTATATAGCATCTATCTTAAAGTGCACACCTACGCATATATGTATGTACGTATGTATCTGTATCTGTATCTGTATGTACGTATGTGTAGTCTCTTCTCTTGTACGTATGAGTTATATATATATATATATGTATATATGCGTGTTTTTTTACTAAAAAAAGAGATGAATAAAGGCATGCATGTATCATTCGTTACAACCTTCGCGATGTGACAATACGTTGGCAAGCTTATGTCTCTTTCTTTCTCTGCGTCTCTATGGGCTTTTTCATATTTTGACTATGCTATTACACGTGGACTTACGTAATATATCTTAATTTTTCAAGGAATTGGAGAACGTTTTTATTATAAATTGAAACCCATTCCTCAGAATTCGAGGGCTTTGACGTTCTCGATGTTTTTTAAAAATTCGATTTGATTTGATTCTACAAAATTCGGGTTTCTAAAAAAATTACCGTTCAAAAATTTTGGACGATTCGATTCGGAAAAGGTCACATTTTCTAATTCGGCTCGGAGGAACCGTTCCGAAATATCCACCCCTAATTTGCTTCATGAGACCGTTCAAATCTACAAGTTCACTATTATGTTTGTGTATGCGAATGTAGACAATAGTATAAGCTTTTATATTAACACGAGGAACAGAAAAATTCGAGCCGCGTTCATGAGAGCACAGAGATGAAGACGAGGTCAATCTATAACACCATATATATAATGCGTATTATAACTTTATAATAACGATATACCATATGAATTATAAAAATTAGATTAAATTAGTTCAACACAACCATGCATGTAATCAAAATTTGGATACCCATCACTCGGAATCAGAATTAATGCCAACTCGTACATTACATAACACGTTCCCTACTTCAGTTCGGTTGAAGAACGACATGCTGCAACAGACAGAAATAAGAGATCTTGATCATTCATATATCCGACCCAAATCAATTTGTTTTCAGTGTTTTGGATCATTTCAAGTTTGCAACTGAACTGGAAAAAAAGTTTTTTTTTTTTTTAATGATTACCTTAATCTGTGTCCTGTTGTATGTATAAGTGATGTGGACAGTCCGATCGCTGGCCTGTATAACCGCGGGGTACGAAAACTCCATCCCGGGCGTTTCTTCCAATGTTAAAACGTCGGTCCAAGAATCTCCGTCATCCGATGAAACCGCGACTTTGAGTACACCTCTCGAGACAGTGTTGTACGCTAGTATCACACGACCGTCGTCTAGCTTAACCCCGTCGATTCCTGCCAATCATCCGAACCAACCAACCAACCAAACCAACAAGATTCAGCGCAGTTTCTTATACGATTTTTCGTGTTAAAAAGATTTTCTTAAAGACAGGAACCTGAATTTGGGTTGGGGAGATGGGTCGGTTCAG